AGAATCCGTGCGGTCCTAACATTCGGACCCTGGAGGTTCCTTTGGGGGTTCGTTCCCACCAATTGGTCGGATATCCCGCCAGTCGTGGCCTTGGGGGGCTCCGTCTTCATCTTGGCCGCCAAGCCTGGGCCGGGCGTGGTGCTTTTCATGACCTTGCTGGGCCTCAGCGTGCTCTTTGTGGATCAGGCGGCGTTGAGAACATTTGAGAACGCTAGAGCTAGCTCATCAAGAGCGACCGACCGGAAGGGAGGGCACAAGCACGTCCTTCGTTTTTTTTGGCGGTTGTGAGGAGGGTGGCGCAGGAATGATTTGGAATGGGTCTACACTCCCTGAAATAATCATGGAAGTGGAAAAAACCACCTGTTTGGCGGAAGAAACTTGTCATCCAAGGGGCCATGCCATCCACTTCCCTGGATGATTTCATGGAATCAGTTTGATGACATCGTGGCCTGAGGTCTTCTGAATCCACAGCATGCCATCCATAGTCATCCATAGCTGTCATCCACGAGCATGAGATTTGTCCACGACGGCCAATCGCGGCCTCCTTCGACTTCGTTTGGCTGCGGCCTTTGGAGGCCTTTTTTTGGTCGAATTTGATGCTGAAATGCTGAGTTAAGCGTCATGCTGGCTGGTTTCAGGTGATCAACAGAGGATTCGGCCATACCCTCAGAACTGTAGCATCAAATCAGAACAGTCTACTGTATCAGGCCAGATTTCACGGGTGTGAGCATGGTACTTGTATATTTAGAAAGTTTGGATTTTCATGATTTCCACTTGATGTTTTCTAAAAAAAGCTCCAAGCTTGTCTTCTCGAAGCTTCACTGAGGTGAACTGCTGCTTTTGGACTCTCTGGGCCGTGCAGTGAGCAAAGACTATCCGGCGAGGGTGGCATGTCATGAGGCTGGTCACTTCCTGGTTGCCTACCTTTTGGGTATCCTTCCCAAGGCGCGGAGGAAGGAAACAACGTGCAGATCAACGAAAAACGTATTGGTGAAGGAAGACATCCTGCACCCGCTGGATGTCGAAGTCGCATGAAAAAAAGAGTACAGATGTCTTCCTTCAACAGTAGGATACTGAGACTGGGTCTTGGCTTGGGTGCTGCGAACCTGCGAGCACTTATGTGAGGCTATTGCCATGTCGTGATGGCCTTGAAAAAGAGTTTTGGATCGGGTCTGGGCAGGGGAACGGACGAACGGACGTGCACTGGTTCACTCAGATGAGATGAACATTTAGTGCCCTTGTACTTGGTGTTTCAGTTCCCAATTCCCTTGGAAGATGTCACAGTGATCTGACGGGACACATTCAGGTGTCAACGTCACACCTGGCAAGGCCTATACGCTGAGTGCATGGGAGGCCTTCTCCAAGTACAATTCCATGTCAGTCCAGGCGGGCACCGTTTTCCTGGACCAGGCGGGCTTCGGAGTCCGTGTGAGGTACGAATCGGAGCTGCAACTTTGGCAACTTCACTGCTACACCCTGTACGAGTCCCGGGGGTGTGGTCTCTCACGCAAGAGACGAAACACGACGCAAAGATCACAATGATTAAAAAGAACTAACACTGCGGACTGCGGACATCGGAAAAAAAAGAAACAAAAAATAACGAGTCTTCAGGCCATCCAGAGCGAGATGCAGTCAGGGCAAGTCTCGGGGAAGACCCTGGCACCTTGGAGGATGCGTTGATCGACCAAGAAGGGAGAAAGAGAGAGAGGGAGAAAGAAAGAAAGACAGAAAGAAAGACAGAAAGACAGACAGACAGACAGAGAGACAGAGAGACAGAGACAGACAGAGAGAGAGAGAGAGAAAGAGAGTCCAGGGTCAACCCCCGAGTTTTGTGGGTGTGCGCGCACTTTTTTGTTCTAAGAGTCACCTCTTGGTTCTCGTTTTGGTTCTATTTACATCTTCCATAGATTTCCGCAATCAGGTCCTCAACACAGGACTCTGGCGGTAGACTATGGGATTAGATAATGATTAGAAGACCTGACATGGAGATGACTTCTACTTGGTTGATTGGGTGTGTAATTCCTGGTTGATTGGGTGATTTAAGCTTGGGGAGCGAGGACCTAAATTGGAAGAACATGGTGCTCTCACACTACCGTGTCCAAAACTCCTAGAACTGACATCCCTGATTGCATTGAGTGAATGCCGCCTCTCAAAGACAGCCAGTCAAGGACAACTTTGTTTGTGCACCTTGCTTGCACTTGGATTTGTCAGGTTTAGCCAGCGGTTTGCTACGCCTCATTGGGCATTGGGCCTTGAATTCACTCTATGACTGGTTCGCCTAATGATACGAGACCACCAAGGCATCCCAAGACATCCAGAAAACCCAGGGCTCAGGCTTTTCAAAAACATCAACACAACATGGATTTGGCATGATTTGGCCCACGTTGTCCAGAAATCATGCGCCGCACTGAGATCGTTAGATGTTCTCGATCTCGCCACCGGATGGGCCCCGCGCGTGGGAGTCCACCCAGCCAGAACTAGCGCTGGCCGTTGGTCAATCGCTTGGAATGCCGCCTAAGGTTGCTCTTGGGGGTATTGCTGCAGAGTATGTGACCTTCGGCCAAGCAAATGGTGGCATGTCAGATCTCATACAACTGGAGGCCCAGTGGCAGCTCAGAAATATGTGGAACGTGTGAGTGTTGAGACGTGTTGAGTCCTCTTTGTCCGGTGTTTTAGATAGTTGGTTGGACCCTGCAGTTGACTTGGCGACTTGGGAACTCAGGAGTCTGAGAGTCTGAGTTCTGAACACCTCAAACTTGCGAGGCTCTTTTCGAAGCTTTGAAGTTTGACCAACAGCAGACAAATGTGCAGCTGCGGACCAGCGTGATGATCCTCGGCCGATACTGCCACTGATTCCCCCAAAGCGGCGGGCCGCGGCCATGGTTTGTTGGAAGGTCGCACCATGCCGTCCAAAGTCGCGGGTCGCAGGGCCAATTTCGGGGGGAGGGAGTTGTCGGAAAGTTGACATCTCCGCCCAGTCAGGAACACGGTGGCAATCCTCAAAGAAAAGCAAAAAGCCCATGCTGCGCTGGTGGATGCGATGTCACGTGGTGAGAGTATTGGACGTTGCATTGAAATCATCGAGCAGAGCCTGTGAGTCCAACTAGCGACCAACTTGGGCAGATGGTGTGCAGCCCTTTGGTTTGCTGCCTTTCATGGATCTTCCAGTTCACTCGATGCTAGTCCCACTATTGCTTCATTTAGTCTTTAAAGTTATATTATATATTGAACCTTCTGAGCGCAAAAGTGGCAGTTGGATCAGCATAAGCCTGCAATTTGCCGTGGAAAAGGATGCCAGTTCTTTGTGCTTTCTGGGGCCAAGAAGAGGTTTCTCAGACACATTCAATATGGTTTGTTGGACATTGTGCAGCACCTGAGACACTCAGAAGAAGATCACCCCCGACCATGACCACCACAACGGTTCCGTGCTGTGGATAGCAATTTTCGGTGCACAAAACTTTGTGGAAGCACCTTTTGCGCGCAAGGGTGCGCAAGGGTGCATGTCTATATGTGCAACATTGTGCAACCACTTTTATTTGGTCTTGACTAAAGTAGTCTACAGCATGCTCTATTTGTTTGTCCAACATCAGTATTTGCATGTGAACGAGATAGGGCGCCCACATAGCGTTTAGATACTTGTTGATGACAGCGATCGAGGGATGACATAAGTTTTGCTACTGAGGTGGTCTGAATGAGATACTGTGGCATGACCTCCTGCTGAAGCAGTCCAAACGAGATAGGGCCCCTGCGTAATAGATAGTGCATGTGAGTTCAGTAACAAATACATGCCGCTGCACATGTATGTGTGTATGTAATCAACGGATATAGAAAAGGCATGATGCTACGTACCCTGATGTACATGCATGTACAGTATGGGGGAAATCGTGGTGCTGGCTTGTTGCAACAGGCTGCCTTTTCACTGTTTCACCACATCACAAAGAGGAATAAGAAAAACGAAACACTATAATGATGGCAACGCAGTGGCTGCTTAAGTGTCGCTTCCACTGCTTGCAGAAAACAGCTTGGGACTCTTCCTTTAAGAAGCCGCGGTGCTGGTGATACGGTTTTAGCCTATTGGCTTTCCCACCTGCCAGGTGAGGTTGTTAGATCTTATCAAAGTTTCCTCCTCCTCCTCCTTTTTGCCTCCTCCTTCCAGTTCGACCTGAACCACGAGCGCCAGATCGCAGTGGGCACCACCGGACCTCGAGCGAGATAGAATGCCAGTGTATATGTCAGATAGAATGTCAGAAAGTATGCCAGATGGAGTGCCAGTATCAGATAGAACGCTGCAGATGCCAAATAGAACGTCCAAATCACGCCCCATAGTGTTTGAACTGGTTCGTGTGATCCAACAAGTGGCATGTGATCAATGCATACAGTATTACTTGTTTCATGCTAGGACAATTTCCCCATCATGGCATCAAACCAAAGCCTGAAGTGCCACGGTGGGCATCAGCTGTTTTGGGCGTCCTTTCGTAAACAAGCAGTTGGCCAAAAAAGGAAGCATCCAAACAATTTGTTTGTGTCAGACCCCGTGTGGGCAGAGGCAAATCTTGAAGAACTGCTTGGTAGCTGATATTGCGTAAGATCAGCGGAAACTCATGCCCAAACACTTAACTTGGCGGAAGGTTGGCGCAAGCGGCTGCGTAAGCCTTGTCATGTGTTGGGTCAGTTAGCAATAGGAAGGACAAACACTATTTACTTTGGAACAGGCATGAATAGATATGAGGTGAGGTCCCCACATATTCCCATGACCTGCTTTACCAGTCGTGCATCCGTCTCAAACCGTGAAATTCTTTTTGCTTTGGGGTTGAGATTACTGTTGAGATTGTAGATTGAGGTCCCATACGGGTGTGATCAAACCACTAGCTTGCTTACAGTTCTTGACGTGTGTTTCGTCCTGAAACAAGGGGCAAGATGCGGCAAGGATGGTTGCTCTTTTGATCGATGCAACGAACATCATGGGACATGATGCGACATGCCGGAAGGGGGGTTCTGAGGTGCACAACGGCCTGCAGTGTGCAAGGTGTGGCCAGGCAAGGGATCAACAACAGCGTCACCGGAAACACCTGTTGTGGTGGTTTGATGGCTGTCGGGCCACCTCACGTCACTTCGCTTTGTGTCATGTCATGCAGGTGGTATGTGTGCATCACCGCTTCGAAGACCAACACCCATGCGTGGACTTAGAGGCTGGTCCGACCAGGGTTGAGCAAACGTCCGCTCCCGGAACCCAGGATAGTGCAGAGCATCCCACTTGCCAAGCGTTGTCAGAAAGAAATCCGGCTGTGAGCTGCGCTGCACCACATCTTCCTTGAAAACATTTTTTCACCTCGTCAGTTTTTCCTTACACGGATCTCTTTGATCGGTGATGTTCTGTGATCAAGCACAGATCCTCAACACACGCACCAACAAGAACTGAAAACAGTGGGGAACAAGGAATGCAAAGGACACACACAGAGACCTGTGGACATTGTCGGTGTTATTTGTTCTTTTGTGTTTGAGTGTTTTCCTAGTTTTTGTAGATATATGATGATATATGATATATGTTATATGTAGATATCAAATCCTGCCATGAATCAAGCGGTAAGGCTGCGGTGAAGAAAGCTTTGGCGGAGGCACAGTCGAGCTTGAGGCCAGAAAACTTGAGGGATATCCGAGCAGTTACCCATTCCCAGCACGCACCAGGAAACCTTGCTAGGTACGTAGCCTTAGACATGTTGCAGGCGACTGCCTTTTTCCTTCGTTTTGGCCGGCAGATACATGATATATGTCACAAAAGTCACATGTGTGTAGGAGTTCATCCATTCAAGACACACCAGAACATAGTGTTCCTTTCTTCTAGCCCTTTCAACATGACTATGACTGCGCCACATTATCACAAATTATATATCGCATCAAATGCATTGAAATGTGTCGATCGCTGCTGTACAAGAGGTCCAGCAAATCGTCATCTTGACCCATTTTGTTTTGACAGCCTTATCGATTTTTCCCACTCTGAGGCCAGAGGAATTTTCCGAAGCTGTTCGCACGTTAACAAAAATTTTCGACAATGCCAGGAGCTTATTGACTCTTCCGTGAGTCAAGACGTTTCTTTGGCTTTTGTTGCCATTAGAAAATGGATTGGATAACAGTACTGCAAGTGCTCAGGTAGTCGTTTTCGATTTCTGTTGGGTATAGCTTTCTATAAGCTTGGTGCATCCTACCTGCAAGCACCGATTTTGCTTAACACATTGCCTAGATTCTGTCCCAGCCCAAGAATGCGAAGTTCCGGAGCTTGAGAAAGGAAAACGCCGTGGTCAAGGTGGGGTATGTGTCATAACTTTGAAAGGGAAGTTGAGGAGTCAAACGGATCTTGAGCAGCTATGGCGATGATGAGTCTTTCAGCTACCCTTCACGCCCCTCCTTAGCTTCGGCCGCAGGAGAAGCTGAAACACCCCTCCTGTTTGGCATCACTGCGACTATGTGTCGCTGGCTGGTTTGCGAGAATTAACGACCCGGTCCGCGCACAGACACCGACCGGGTGCCATGCGTCGACGTTCTGCAAAAACCGTTCTTCGTTGAGCCAAGGCGTCGACTGACTTGGTGCCACTTGTGTAAGCGCTATGTAAGAAATCAGTTGTGAATGGCTGCTTTGGCTACTGATTCTCGTACGAATTGCCATGTGCCATGTGACACACGGAAACCGCTGAAACCGCTGCTGAATCCGCCTCTCCAGGTGGCTTTGTTGAGGATGCTGATGTTTTTGTGCTGACCTTTGACCGATCCGTAGGTCCTACACTTGCAGATGCAAAGTTTGCAGCTCCATATCCAGATGTCTAGGTTCAGGTCATTCAAAGAAGCACCTAGCTTACCAGTAGTTGCCTGATTAGTCATTGTTGGGTTTTAAAGCCTGCAAAAAAAGAAAAGACAAAAATTAGCAGAAAGCATGACACGGAGTCGGTGTTTCTCAAAGTTGGCCGAGGTTTGCCCCGACTCCGTGGTGCTTCGCCTCAGAAAAAACCATCGGTCAGACGCCTCGCATCCACCGCCATGCTGGCTCCGCTTCCGTGCTCCGGGGCCCCCCATCCTGAGGATTTAAGCACGATGCGCCGGGTTTGCACACAGCTCAAGGCGCTCTTTGTACGATGTGGATTTGTTGGAGGTAGTGGCTGGTTTATGTCCATGCCCATGCCATTTCCTTCGTGTGTGAGAAGTAGCAAGGAAAGGCACTGTGTCTTTTTCTCACATTTAAAAGCTATGCAAAAAAGAATACAGTACGCAATTGCTTCTTGATTCCCACAGGTATAGATGTGTCGGATGTGTTTGTATGTCAGAGATGTCCCACATGTGGAGCTGCGAACCATCACCAAGGAACCAACCACAGAGCCACAGAGCCATTTCACCAGGAATCCAACTGGTTCGTTTTTGGATTCGAGGTTCGTTGCCGATCAAATCCAGACAGTTCACCCAGTTGGACCATGACGACCAGTGGGCACACCAAGAGCGCCACAAAGGACATCCTGGTGACCAAGAGGCGAACGCCGAAAGAGGGTGACCAAAAGCCGCCCACACTGCAATAGCGAACTGGTCGTTGGGGGTTCTGTCTGAGGATGACCACAATGTCGCTGTCATGTGACTTCCTCTCAAAAATGAGGAGACTCCGAAGCAGTGATTTCAAGGCTCACTTCCCTTTTCGCTACTGCGCGGTCCCCTCATTTCAAAAGCAACCCCATGTCCCCATGTCATGCTTTGCAGTGGCCAAGCTGCAGGCTGTGCCTCTCTCTGAGGGCAGGGCACTCATTGCATGGCCTCAGCATGTTTGGTCTCGAGAAATTGTTCAACTGTCCAGTTCCTTGCGACCATTGGCCAATATACACACCCTGGAATCATGGCAGTGGAAAGCCATTTGTTTGTAGAAAATGATCATGCAAGGGACATGTTTTATATATTGTTATATCATGTTATACATGAGTTGAAACCTTGTACATCTTTATACACCTCGTTCAGAACGCTCAAGCCATCGGCAGCGCAACGATGGCTTTTCGCGTCCCGTCGGCCGATCCGTGGGGAGCGTGGACGTCGCCGAGGTGTGCGGCTCGTGGATGGAGTCATCGTGCGACCACCCAAGGCGTGTGGGGCTTCCACCCATCGAAACCGAGAAAACTGGTCATCTGATGAGACGCTCGCCATCCTGTGAATGTGCTTCCGTTGACGGAGAGTTCAGATGACTTGACATGACATTTGAAGTGAGAAGACTTGAGGTTTCACTAAACATGTTGAGCTTTGTTCTCAGGTGGAAGCACAGGGAGCTCCAGTGCAAAGCCGAGGCCTGCAGTTTGTCTCTAGAACAAGGAGCCACGAGGCAAACAAGGCAAATAGCTGTGAGGTCTGTGTACAGAATATATCGACATATCATGTCAGAATCCATGTATGTCACATTGATATGAGAAATTGGATGGTCCAACCTGTCCTTCTCTCGACAGGCTACTCCGACATATCTTCAAGGCAAGCTTGCCTCAATGATGGCGCAGTTATATACAGTATTTGGCTTGACTCCATCATGCGGGCATAGGGTTTGAAAGGCCGGTGGAATGTTTTGGATTATGCCCCACCAAGAAAATGTCTAAAAGAACACTACGCTGCGTAGAGGTCCTTTTCCATGTTTATCAACCTGTAGGCACTCTGGCATTGTCCGAAGAATATGAACACAACCTGTGTCGTTTGAGCATGCTTTCTTCAGATTCACAACTACTGGAGCTAATCAACTCGTCCAAACTAGCCATCAAAGATGGCTCAAGTGCGCTTACCGAATTAAATCGTGCCAATGAGGACCTTGTGGGGATCCTAGATCCGTTTTTGGCTGAGCTTTTTTGTCGCGTGGGGCGTGGGCTGTCATTGGTGTCGACACAACTGGTTGATCGATGTTTCCAAGACTTGGCAATGGGCACCACGCTTTTTGAGTGCAGATCATTTACAGAAAATTCTGAAGAAGGAAGCTCTAATACCGTTTTATGTTCTGATGTTTTAATATTGAAAGATTTCACATGATTTCACAGTTTCACAAGCCCTTCTTTTGCAAAACCAGAGCAATGATTCAATAAGCAACTCTGCTGAGGAAGGATCTAAACTTATTTACAGCAAATTTGATTTGATGATGTTTCTTGAGTGACTGACGATGTGGGACAATGGGACGCCGCGCCTTTTCTTTGTAGGTGACCAGGTGGTGGGGGCGGTAGGCTTCAGAAGCAGCTTCCCTGCCTGAGGAGATGGCGTCCATGCAGCTTTCGAGCAAATGCTTCTGTGAGTTCCTGGGCACCTTTTTGCTTGGCTTCACAGCGCCTTGGACGGCGGACCTCTCTCACCAGCCGAGCCTGTGAAAAACCAGCCGGTCCAAGGGCCCCGAGGTCTGTAGAGTCAGATGTTCTCCACTCGAGTGACCGTGACCGTGACCGTCACGGTGGTCGCACTGAGGTCGTGTACAGCCAACTCACCGGCCCCCCCGCTCTTCTACGGCCTGGTGAATGCATCAGCACTAGCTATCCTCGCACAGTGTGGGTACCTAGTGACCACGCGCATCACCGGCTATGGTGGCCACCAAACTCAGCATTTATGCAAACATGGTATGCACATGCGCAATCTCTTTAAGACAATTACATTTTGGACCTCTGAACAGATCTGTGTGTTTGTGTCCAATTCTGCTTTGATTCTCTTGTTGGGGCGAGGCACGTTCAATCTGCACCCCCAAATCAAAGAAATCTGCCAGACATATTTAGAAGTCCAAGCGTCAGCCAAACGCCAAGCCTGGGTGGAGTTACTGTGAAATAAGGCCTCTTCAGCTGTCAAAGTAGTAAGCCAAGATACGTAAGTGATCGTAAGTGTGTCTTTGCCGCTGGGGACTTCAAGTCTCCTATATATATATATATATGCAGTAGATGAATCAATATCTACCACACAGGTAGTCTTGCTAAAAACGGGTAGGCGCAGCAAGAAACACCTGAATGGTGGTGTTTGTTTATGGCGTGTGTCCGGGGAGTGTCGCTGGCTGTGACGGCTGTGAAACAAGCACAGTCAACTGACACTGTTTGCACTCAGGACATTAGGTCCCATTTCAGGAGGTTACTTCAACCCCGCTTCTCGGCAATATTGCGTTCGAGAGACGACTACTACTACTACTACTACTACTACTACTACTACTTCAGTTGACCTGTTTTTGTTGTTTCCGAGCCATTGCAGCAGTGCCAGTAAGAAAATGTGAAACAAGCACATACAAGCACATATATAATAACATACACACATATAATATATATATATATGATAATAGGCTAATAGGGCTGTTCAGAACTTGCAAGTGTTACTTTTCCAATGTAGGAGTGACCCGTTACTGCCGTCATTAAAATTCAGTAATAATATAATTCAATAATATTATGTAAAAGACAATAATAATACAATATTATGTGTATGTCCCTGCAAATTTGTACATATATATATATATACATATACATACAGTATATTCATAATCCGAGTGTGCTTTTCTGTCCCACTGGTGCTCACTAGTATCAAAGACTTTGTGGGTTTCTACAACTTCTGACGCCGACACTTTGCGGGACCAAAGGCTGTAACCTTCGCCCTGAGAAGAGTCAAATGCCTTAACGGGCATGGAATGGAGTGGCGGCAGGCGTCGCTGCGCTGTGTGAAGCATTTGTCTTGCCCACTACATGAGATGATTCAACTGAGAAGAACCCGCTTTTAAAAACGAAAAAACGAGCCGTTGTTACTAGTAGCTTCTTGTTCCTAGTAGCGATGGCCTCCAACCTAATAGCGATGCCACCTAGTAAACTAGTAGCTTCTTAGCAAAGGTGTCATACACTGTGCGGACACATTGAGGGCTTTCGGGGCTTTGTAGTTGCATTGTAGTTGATGTGTGCGTGAGTCGACACATGCAGACCATGACAGACCATCACAGACGCAAAGCTCATCAGAGTGTCCGGATTGAGTGAGTTTTCAGGACTCTTTCATACTTTTTCATACTTTTTCCGTGACACGCTTTGAACTTGAATGCGGACCTGGATTACCTCCTTTCAAAACTTGAATGTCGGACTTGAGCTCCTTTTCCAAAGATGAAGGATTTGTTTGTCTTCTGATTGAGATTCCGTGATTTGTCCACATGAGGGGTCTGAGAGACATTGTTGAGGTCCATTTGATCGACATGAACACAACAGCCACGAACAAAGCGGGTCTCAAGCGGTCCCCGTCCTTCCCAGTTCAGTCCACCGACGAAGTCTGTTTGACCGTCCTGCCGAAACCCTGCGCAGGTCTGGACTTTCTGGCTTGCACAGGTTTTGGGCGCGACCTGTGGCGCTGGCCTTGCAAACATATCGACACTCAACTGAAAACAGATCGACCCCGTTGGACCAGCAATCCCAAGCGACCAGGAGGGACTTCGGGGGTCCCCGGATGCGAAAGAGGTGCCAAAGGGGACCCGAAGGGACGACCGATATTGATATATGAGAGTGCGGCCGTTGGGCCCTCTTTGGGTTCTTTGAATGCCAACGTGTCAAAACCGGGAAAATGTGAAGATGTGATTGAACGTTGCCTGGCAGATCCTGGCAGTTGATTTTGAGGTTAGGGAAGGGCCTTCCCATTGGAAACTTCCTGAAGCGTGGTTTTCTTGGAATAGGTGCGCCCGCACATGCGAACCGTGAAGCGTTTTTTTGACTGTGAACACATTAATCCACAAATGCAACCATCTGTCGTTCCACAGAGGGCAAGAGCAAGACGGAACCAGAGAGCCGGAGGCAGCATCAAGACAAACGAAGGCATAAAGGTATAGAGAGCTTCCTGACCGTTTTCCGGCGAACATTTACACAAGCTATGTCAAAGTAGCTGAGTCAGCTGGCGCACGCGTGGCGCGCTCGTGGCGCTCGCAGGCCTTTCTGAATTCTTCTACACTTTCATGATGTGCTTCGTTGTGCTGAATATGACTGCCCCAAAGCGGAACGAAAAGGACCTCAGCTGGTGCTTTCAGTTCTCGGGCGTCCGCAAAACGTGCGTCCAGTCCAGAGAGGTGAGAAGTGGCCATGTTTGATCACGAAAGGGACGTCAGAATCGCGTTTGGACTGGCCATGCTTTTCGCACTTGCAACTCTCTTTATGTAGATGTTGGATCCATTCGTCCTGAAAAGGAAAGCGGGTCCAGCTTGGTAGCAGCAGAAGCTTTCATCCTCTCCTTCGCAGGAGAGAATGGAAAATGGTGCTATGGCCCTGGGCTTGTGTTTGCTAGCAGGTGCCTATGGAGCAGGTGGGTTCCAACTACTGGCTTCAAAAACGTGCCGTGTTTCTAGGATGCATTTGTTTGAAGCCTCGTGTGGAAGCAGTTTTCGCAGGCAATTTGACTGGCAACACCACTTTTAATCCCGCTATTGCTGTGGCAATGGATGTGACGACAATGAGCTTCACTGGCACCTTGGATTTGAAGTGTGGTTCTTGTTGCCGCGTTGCGGGTGTTTTGTTAAAAGGGGCTGTAGACATGGCAGACATCTCAAATAAATTCGTGCCATTGGGGATTGGACCGACAAGGTAAGGAATTCAATTCCTACCAAACTCTGCAGCAGACTTAGGAGATCCCGTGGCCAATGGGTTTAGTTTTGGTCCATGTTTCTTTTACCAGGGCTCGGACTTGGGGTCTTCCTACTCTAATCCTGATAAGCGGTGTGCATAGATTCCTTTGCACAATCACAGCTACTCTCGAAGGAGGCGAAGATGATGTTATGTTGGAAGCTGCAGAATTTACTGTCTTGACAGTTTGGGCATCCTGTGGGCTAGTTGAGGACTCTTCGGGTTTGGGCCTTTGCTGTGGTTGGTCCAGCTGCCAGCTGCAGCACTTGCCGCCAATGTTTACTCCAAGGCGAGGAGTGGAGTCATGAGTTAATGCCTGCCATTTAGCCTATGAATTTGTCTGGTTTTCAAATCTTAATGGATTTTAAATTCAAACTTAAGCCCGTTGCAGTAGACCTTTCTGTTAGATACATTCGTGTTTGTTAGCCTAGTTATAGCGGCTTAGGTTCGAATTTGACACACCTATTGCCGCATTTATTTTTCAGCTGATAGTCTTTGCTTCCCTCGGACGACGGTATTATAATTGAATATAATTGAATATAATCCTGGCTATCCGTTTCGTTGGCTTTTTATTCAAATCACATTTGCATTCTTGGGTTGGAGGCTTGAATTTGATTTTAAGCTTCAGCTGTGCACAGATGGCTGAGCTTGTGGCAGCCAGCCAAAGGCAGGAAGCGCAAGCCATGGACATTCGTTGGTTTGGAAGAAGTGGGCAGTGATGTGTCCCTGCTAACGGCGGGACAGCAGTGGCTGCGAAAGCACCATGTGATTCACAGGACGCTCACAAACTCCACTCATGATGGCTGCAAGACATTGATCGGTCGCTGCCACGCGTGTACAACATATGACAAGCAAGGTTGCTTTTCCCTTGACTCACGCTGATGGCCGCTT